TTTGGAAGTTGGGAGGGGTGCAGAATTACCAAAACTGTGTCCAAAAGGGCTGAGGAAGGGTTGTTGAGGTGGTTCGGACATTAGAGTGAATGGAGCGAAACAGAATGACTTCAAGAGTGCATCAGTCTGTAGTGGAAGGAAGGCGAGGTAGGGGTCAGCCTAGGAAAGGTTGGAGGGAGGGGTAAAGGAGGTTTCGTGTGCGAGGGGCTTGGACTTCCAGCAGGCATGCATGAGCGTGTTTGATAGGAGTGAATGGAGGACAAATGGTTTTTAATACTTGACGTGCTGTTGGAGTGTGAGCAAAGTAACATTTATGAAGGGATTCAGGGAAACCGGCAGGCCTGACTTGAGTCCTGGAGATGGGAAGTACAGTGCCTGCACTCTGAAGGAGGGGTGTTAATGTTGCAGTTTAAAAACTGTAGTGTAAAGCACCCTTCTGGCAAGACAGTGATGGAGTGAATGATGGTGAAAGTTTTTCTTTTTCGGGCCACCCTGCCTTGGTGGGAATCGGCCAGTGTTTACCTGGAGAGAGTTGTGGGGGTCAACGCCCCCGTGGCCCTGTCTGTGACCAGGCCTCCTGGTGGATCAGAGCCTGATCAACCAGGCTGCTGATGCTGGCTGCACGCAAACCAACGTACGAGCCACAGCCCGGCTGGTCAGAAACCGACCTCAAGTGCTTGTCCAGTGCCAGCCTGAAGACTGCCAGGGGTCCGCTGGTAATCCCCCCCATGTATGCTGGGAGGCAGTTGAACAGTCTCGGGCCCCTGACACTTATTGTATGGTCTCTCAACGTGCCAGTTGAGTGTGATAATAAAAAAAAATAAATTTGAAACTTCCTAAGGTTTTAGCTTTGATAACCAATATAAATATGATTTGGCAGTTGGGAATTTAACAGCTGTAAATTTGCAAATGTTCGAAGCTCGCAGAAGTGGAAAACACGAATGTTGAGGGAGACCTGTACTTCTTGATATGAAGCCAAGGATTCTGTTAGCTTTATTGTGAACACTTATGCACTGTTGTCTTAGTTTCAGATTACAATGGACCCTCCCTTTTTGTTTGGCTCTGTTTTCGCTTATTTCCCTCATCGCCGATTTTTTGCATAAAATTGTTGGCACCGTTTTTGTTTTCCTACATTCTCATCTGTGGTACAGTAAAAATATTGACTCCATTTCCGTTGTTTTCCTCCATTCTCATCGGTGGTACGGTACCTGTCGAAGTGCCGCGAGCACACAAAGCCTCCCACACACATTCTGAGGCAGCGTCATATGAAACATTTCATAGTAATTCATTATTTTTTGCACCTGTTTAATCTGTGTGACTGTTAAATAAGCCACCATAGGCCCAAAGAAAGCTGCTAGTGCCAGCCCATTGACAAAGAAGTTGAGAGACATGATAGAATTCAAGAAAAAACTTGTCGCAAAGTACGAAGGTGGAGGAGGAAGAGAGAGGGGAGAATGTGTCTTCTTCAGTGATTCTACGATATGTATGATACTAAAACAGCAGGAGTTGATAAAGGCTATATTGCCAGCCATCGATAAAGTATAGCATTAACTGTGTAGCAAGTAAATTAAGCCATTAAGCGATAGAAAAAAAAGACACGAAATGACTCCCCCAATTTTTTTTTGGGGTATATGGGGCCACTTAAAAAACATACGCCGCCCTGCCTATTTACACCCCCCAAACCCAATGCCAGCATCTCCAAGGAACAGCAAGTGTAAATACAGTGGAACCTTATTACGAGTTTAAGGGGTTCCTGCCCTTTCCCCCATATTTTGGATTTGCTCGTTTGCAATCAGTTTTTCTCATTTAACTTAACGAAATGCAATTTTCCCTTCCGGCTTCATGAGGTACGCAAGATACATCATATTTCACTAAATCTCTATTCAACTTTTATCTATCAAATTCATAGATAGACACAACAAACAATTTTAATAACAAGGAAACCCTGATATATACTCTAGAATGAATAAAATATGTCAAGTGACAATGGAGGTGGCCAAAACCCTTTCCGCATTGTTTGGTAATCACTGCCACCTAATGACGAATAAGTTAATGCTGATGCTGACGAATGAATGACTTGACTGAAAATTTAATGACTTTGACTGACGAATGATTTGACGACTGAATGCTTGACTAATATTTGCCTGCTCATAGGGTAGGTGGCCACCACAGGGAATAAAAAAGGCAACTAAAAATTTACAGTAAAGAAAACATGGAAATAGGCTACACAATTGTGACTGGACTGATAAAAAGTTGCATGACGTAAATGATTCCGGGGAAAAAATTCAAAAACATGTTGACTGCCATTCTTGAAAATATTGGGGCGTTACCTAGCACCATTGTTGATAAATTGGGGCTTACCTAGCACCATTGTTGAAAAATTTTGGGGCGTTCCCTAGCACCATGGTTTTGTGTTTTTTAAAAATCTCATTTAAAAGTTTTTTGAAGAAGGAGTTTCACTTTTCAGGGGGGAAAATAGGGGGCTGAAACTTCATTAGATGAGTTTAGGGTAGAGATGGTGCTGGTGAGGAGGGAAAAGTTACCTGCAGTGTTTTGGAGAGTGGCACCCCTTTTAAAGTGGAAGGGGCCTCTTCAAGGGGGGGGCTCCTTGGCGTGGTGAAGAGGCTCTTGGTCTGAGGCTTACCCCTGTCGGTCTTTTCCTAAACCCCAAACCAAATTTACCCCCCGATTTCCCCCCCCATCCCATCCTCCCTTTTTCCTTTCCCTCCCCCTCCTCCTCACCTCTCCCTTTTGCCCTTCCTCTTTTTGGCCTTTTGGGTTTTCTCCCACGGCGCGCTAGTTTGGTGGGGGAAAGGACACCGGGGTCCACCCCATTCCTTGGCTTGGCATGGAGTTTTTGCCGGGGAAATCGGGGATTCCCTGTGGATTCCCGATCCCTTCCGGTACCCCGGAAAAAGTTTTGGGTTGTTTTTGGGGTGGGGTGTATCTTGAAGCCCCCTTTGCGGATTCCGGGGGGGGTGGCCCGACGGAGGTAGCTTTGTGGGGAACCGGCCGCCCTCTCTTTTGTCCAACCGAGGTCCCGGGCAGATGTGGGGTTTGCACCCCGGTTTGCTGGTTTTACGGGCATGAAGGGTGGGGAGGCACGGGTTCCATGCTGCATCTGCATATAGGGGTGTTGAGGCCCTTTTGGGGGCGGGGGGGAGATTTCCGGCCCTTTATTCCTCCTGGGAACTTTTCCCCCCGGTTCCCCCCTTTTTTTTTTTTTTTTTTTTTTTATTTTCTTTTCTTTCTTTTTTTTTTTAAAAAAAAAAAAAAAGGGAGTAACCTAACCTGGCAGCCCTGCCCAGAACCATCCCCCCGGGCCCCCCTTCTTGATCCCGCACCCCATTCTGACCCTGCTTGGTTTTAGACACTTTTTCGAACCCCAGA